CTAACTCAAAGTTTTGGGTTTGCTAGGCAAACCTTTAACTTTCAAATTATTCAATTAAGTCCTTAGTAACCAATGATTGTTGTATAAAATATAATTAAACAAGGATGGGATGTTTGCCACCTAATAAAATTACCCATCTTTATCAGTTCATGAATCATGTGGGGCACCTTTTAGGCATCATTTCACTTAGGAGGGATTGGTTGTAGAGATAGGTCTACATTGACAACTGTATTTAATGATGACGCTAAACTCGATGAGATTTACTAAATTTTGTGGGACTCCATTTTCGTTGGTCTCAAAGTTAGCATTATTGCTGCTCCCTATATAATCTTGTCGGTAAAAGACAATGCAGTTATATATATATATATATATATATATATTATAAAGACAATAATTAATAAATTAATATTATTAAATGTTAGCAACTAAAGATTCAATATTTAGATCGGATGCACAACCCACCTGTCCCAATAAAGTGCACGAGAATTAAACGGCTTGATAGAGTTCACAATTATACTTTATTTGAAAGAGGCACAGAATAGTTTTACCTGCATCCTGCTGACAACGTCGTCATAAATACTGTAAGCTGCCATAGATGTCATTATTCGCGAAGATAAGATTTCATTGATTGCAGTCATATATAATTTGGTATAAAGAAAAGTTTGGGGTTATTTTCATTAGTATTACCATTAACACAATAACAATTGTCAGGTTATTGTCACTTGTTAATGATAGTTTTTAACTTCTTTTTTTTTTTTTGGTACATTTAACTAATTTATTTGTATAGCAAGATTTGTGCTTTAATGTGGTTAGGTATAGACAATATGATGTCAACATCTGAACATCTAAGGTCTAAGGTCTGTAGTGATAAAAGAAAAAAATCCCAATTTGAATCGTTATATTATAATGTGAATACCGACATCTTCTTTATGGGGAATACTCCAACTGGAGGCAACTTTTATCAGAAAAAGAAGTAGACAAAGGACCACTGAGATAAAGAGTGGGAAGGTCAATGGAAGCTTCAGGTTGAACAATTTTGTATTGCTACTGCTCAGCTCTTTTTTTTTAACTTTCTCTCTCTCTCTCTCTCTCTCTCTCTCTTTGTGAGTAGCTAAAATTCCAGTTTCTTTCCACAGCTGAGACTTCTTCTTCAGCTTCAGATGAGGCTCTAAAAGACTTTCCTGTTAATATGAGAATTTATTTACTTTGTTCCAAGTTCAATCTATGAAAGATGTTTTGATGTTAATTGGCTTGGGTTTTTTATTTTTGTAGCTTTGCACTTTTTCTTGGCAGGAATACAAGTTCCATTCCAATTGTTCCTCGACCGAAAAATCTAAAACAGGGCTGTGATGTGACTGAAAGATGAACGTTTCACCACATAGTACTATTTGTTTCTAGGGAACATTCAATATGAACTTGTTTTCCTTCATTGAATGGTAATACGGTCATATTTCTGCTTGACGTAACGCAAAAATCTACTACTCTCCAGCCTCTTATGTATGTCCCTTAAATTTGCAGATCATCGAAGGTCAGGGTTATATCATGGAAGTGAGTGGATGGACTGTTTTCTGTAACAATTCAAAGTGTGCAGAGGATGCTGGAAGGACTTGCAGTTCTGGTTTTTCAGCAATATTCAGTTCATATTCATGTGTCAATCATGCCTTTGTAATTTGTGTCGATATCCTGCTTCTGTCAATCTCCTTATTCATCACCATCTATAAGTTAACCAGAAAGAAGGGTGGAGCAACCTCTCAATCTCATTGCTTTTCTTCACTACTACTTTTCTCAGCAATTCTCAATGGCATTTTGGGTGCTGCTTACTTTGGCTGGGGGATATGGGTAATTATCCAGAAGCTGAGTGCTGATCACACAATTTTGCCTCTAAATGGATGGTTAGTAGTGTTCTTTCAAGGATTCGCGTGGTTTCTGATGAGCTTATTCATAAGCCTTAATGCGGTAAATCTTCCTCCTATAAGATCAGTGAAACTCTGTTCAACTCTTGCCTTCTTGTATGCGGGATTTCTCTGCATTTCATCTTTTCAAGAGACCATTACAGATAGAACCATCTCAGTTAAGATCATTTTGGATATTTTATCTTTTCCTGGGTCAATTTTACTGCTTTTCTGTGCCTTTAAACAACATGATTCTGTGGATACTTATCCAGTAAATGCTGATGCTTGCTATACACCCTTGCAAGGAGAGGGCCCTGATGTAATTGGTCAAATCGCTTCTTGTCCTGTTACTCCCTTTGCAAAAGCTGGATTTTTCAGTAAGATGTCATTTTTGTGGCTGAATCCATTATTGAAGAAGGGCAGAGAGAAAATTCTGGAGGAACAAGATATACCAAAGTTGCGAGAGGCAGATCGAGCACAGACATGCTACTTAGTGTATATGGAA